TCACTTGACTAACGTTCGGTCGGCCCACGTTCACTGCCGCGCCCGCTAGCCGACACTTGATTCAACGCCTACGCCCCGGCCTTCAGAACTCATGTATGGTAACACAGCATTGAATGGTAAAGGCTGTCGCGCTTTTCCGAAGCCAAATGAAATGCCTACAAGGTTCTCAAAGGACTGGTTAGTGACTTAACCCACGTACTGTCGAAACATCACTGCCTGTAGCCTCTCCCTGTAGCCTCTCTCTCCTTCCCGCTAGGAATATACACAAACGACCAGGCATACCGGTATAAATCGAATGGTGCTACTACGTGCCTCACTCACACATTTCTCCTCTGATGAATTAGCTGTGCCCTGGGCTCATACTTACGATTACGCATAGTGTAAATTGTAAATTCACCATCTAAATAATAATATTGAACCACGAACTGTGTATCTCTTCGCGTCTCGATTAGTTACACCTTAATCCTGATTAAGAGCTGGATGCTTTCAGTGATCACCGGTGGAAGAAAACTTATCTCGGAAGCCATTCCAATGCCCGATTGATTCTACGGCGAGAGAGGCTGTTTGTCCTGCTTCCCCACGTGAAAAATGTAAATATTCCTACTTAGTGCTGACTAAATGTACGCTAGGCCCCTCTGTCATGAGACTTTACACAGCAAGCCACCGAATCCAGAATAACCCGGAGCTTTTGCGGAAGGGGGAAGTGCGCAAGGGCTGGGTGGGTATGCGTCGGAGTGACCTTCGGCCATCTCGCATTTAAACTCTCTATCTCGGTACTACGTATGACCAGAGAGAACCCATCCGCGGCCCTCACTTCTCGGTAAATCAATAACCACACGTTTAAGGCAATATTTATAAAATAATCCTGACTTACATATACGTAGTAACTTCAATATACTATTCCATCTGCAAATATATTTTGAAAACATCTGAAATCAATTTTGAAAAAGAAGATTCTGTCCCAAATGACGAGCGGATTCAGTAAACTAAACCTGCGGGAACCTGTAGCCGGTCGCCTCGCCACCAGGCCTCCGACCCAGCCGCCCCGATTTCCGGTTTCCGCTGAAAGGACCTATTAAGCAGGTTCTGATGCCAGCGCCGAACACCTGCTGCGCCGTACGAAAAGTTTCCGATCGATTCAGAATAAAGGGACACGCCAGGTACATGTGAGTTAATACTAATTACGTGATTAATTCTCCAACATCTCTCTATCTTACGGTTTGCCGTTCGCTGCTAGTAAGTCTGTCAGACCTGGAGTTAAATCCCCGTTTGTTGATATCAATAGTTTTATTTACAGTTCCCTTTCCCTTGCCATTTCCTCTAAATAAACCGCCAGGAGGGAGCCGAGAGAGCTAGGGGTGTGAGGGAACGGCCGATTCAAGTACGAGCTCGATGCCTCGGCCTGGGCATCATCACCTGATCGCCATCCGCCCGAATCCCTGCCCACCCAACATCCTGCCAACCAGCCACCTGGTCCGGGCTCCCCTTCGCACGCCCTCGAGCCTCCTTGGCGCGGCCTGCTCCCCACTGCAAAACACGTGATTGAATTTACATATGCATGTGAGCACGGTTCCCCAGCACAGTTGACATGTTAGACAGCATGGGGCCCGGCTCGCATGCTAGAAGTGGCCGAGAAAACACTTACCCAACATAGTCAGTAGAAGTTGTCATGAGTGGTGTGATTGGGAAGCATCGTAGAGGCGCCCATCCGCGCTCTCCTGGATAATATCATTCCAACTGACGTTCTGTCTTATTTTCACTGAAGTTCACTCTCATATAAGTAAAAGGGAGTGTCAAATGACACCTGTTTCCAGGACCACTCACACAAATACTCACGAGACGGCACGTTCACAGACGTGAAGTAGAGACACGTGGCTCGTGCGGTACTTTACGTTAAAAGTTTTAGTTCACTTCGCAAACTTTTCTGCCGGGCCAGCTTCGTCCACAACTGGTCCTCATTCCACGCACTGTCTCTTTAGATTCCTTCCACGTTTTGTCTCGTGGCTCTTTATCACTCAAATGCAACTACACAATTCACTGCACCGTTCACCTGTAATCCAACACTATTCCGTGTTTCAAATTGGTGTCGTTTGTTTCGTTCTGTTAAAAAGTTTTCGGGCGTCACGCCGCGGCCGGACGCGAGGCCTTAAAGGGACCAACGCTCGGAAAGCGTTCGAATAAATAATTCAATAAATAACGGGCAAATCCCAGAGTTCGGGCCACAACCAGGTGGTGTGTCCAGCTCCGGTACAGCTGGAAAACACTGCTGGTACAGGAAGAAGGTCGGACGTGCCCGCCCGCGCCGCCGCCCAGCGCTCAGCAGGGCCTCCCCTCCGCGCCCCTCACTCCCGCTCCGGACACATCGCACTGCACTGCACCTCTAGTGGCTACGGTGGGCACGGCGCCCTCGCATCCGCACATCATCATCGAGAAATTCGCCGATGGGGGGCCAAAGAAGCATTTATTATCACCAGTACGCGCATCCAGCGACTCCTCACAC